CCCTAAACCCTAACCCTCAACCCTGAGCTGTCTGACCCAGCCTTGAACCCGCCGCCGAGAGTTCGACAGGGGCCGGGAGGCGGGGAAGGCGCGCGAAGGAACTCGTCGTCGAAATCCAGCGTGATCTGCGCTTAATATAGAGAACAAAGGGGCCTGAATACATTAGAATAATAGGGTTTTGGAGTATAACAACATACTCATAATCTGGCCCAAAGGCTCCATGTACCTTTATAGTAGATACTTACGCCCTAAAGTACCTATATAGAGACCCCTTTAAGGCTTAAGTAACTACTACAAAGGTACATGGAGCCTTTGGGCTGGGCATAGGACTTTAGGGCTTCATCGCTTTCGGGTTTAGGGTTTAGGGTTTAGGGTTTGGGGCTTATAGGGTTTATGTTTGAGGCGTCCGGGGTTTGAAGTGATTAGAGTAGATGAGTTTAATGCTTTGGGGTTTGCGGTTTACGGTTGGTAGGCGTAGCATTGAGAGTAGGAGGCTAGGATAGGTTTCACAACCACATCGGGCGTGATCTGATAGCTGTCAATTCAGGGTGTCGCGGTTCAGGCTTAATCTAGAAACACTGTGGTTATACCATGATATAAAACCAAAAGACCTTATCTAATTATTCATGCTCCTAGATTAACTGAAATTTAACCGCGAGGGCCTTGAAGTTTAGAATCGGGGGCTTAGCATTGGTGGGTGAACTTTAAGGCTATGCGTACAGGAATTACATCGCAATAGACATTATATTATAACTACAATGCATGGGGGGGTACTACAAAACATTCTACTACAATGCATTACAGTGCAGTACATGCATGCAGCAATGCTTTAGGCAGCGGAAGAACAGGATCTAAGATCTGTGACTGACTGGGTTGTGGCCCACTTGCAATAACACCCCTAAACCCGTAAACCCCAAGCGCCTAAACCCTAAACGCCCGAAGCCTAAAACCCCCTCAACAAGATGCTGAAAGCACCTTGTGAAGCATGGACCTTGAAGCCTTGAAGCAAGCGAAGTCCTTGGCTTCTTTCCGCGTACAAGAAAGATGTTGGGTTTAGGGTTTAGGGAGATCGCATCCGTTCCGAGGCCTGCGAAAATCGTGTTCACTGCTCAACACAGTCAGGGTGCCATGAATGATCCCTAAGGGTCCATGCGCCCAAATAATATATACTTTGGCCTTAATGTAGTCCCTAAATGGGTACTTTAGGGCCAATGTATATACTATTTAGGTACATGGACCCTTAAACCCTAAACCCTAAACCCTAAACCCTAGGTACATGGACCCTTAGGGGATGATACTGACAATGGCGAGAGGAAAGAAGGATATACCTCGTTCCAGACGTAGTTTTGGTTCGATACACAACCCAAACCCAACCCATTCGAAGCCCATCAAACAAACTGAGCAGACAACCAGTACAGGAACCTGAAACATTACCTATCTTATTTCGGAGCTCCTTGTTACAACTATAGTATAATGGGGCTCAAAACGTTATTCCAATTATTAAGGCCCCTCGATTAGGCCACTAGGCTTCCCTTGGATTCATCCACAGCTTGGGGCGGGCCACTCGATTTACATTATCCAGCTTGTTCTAAGCCCCTAAACCCTAAACCCCCCAATGGATTTTGCACTGCAAAAAGATCAAAAAGGCTATCCAAGTCATACAGACGGCTACAGTGGTTGCGAGACAAAAGCCCTTAACATCCACGCAGTTTTGACTTCCGAAACCCCTGACGGAAACCCCCAAACCCCTCAAACCCATGTAATATAGGAGCCTTAATAATTAGATTAGGGTTTGGGGGCCCATTATACTATGATTATCACAAGGAACCCCCAAAATAGTATTGGTAATTATTAAGGCCCCTATATTATATAAAACCCTGAACTGGCAATCCTCTCGAAACGATTTGCCTGGGTGGGTGTTTGCAGTCTTCCGAGGCGTCCCAGGCTGTCGGAAGTCTAGGCGCGGGCGGGTGATGTTAGGGCTTAGTCTTTGGACTTGGGCTAGTTCAGAAACCTTCAGGGTTTAGGATTTAGGGTTTGGGGTTTAAGGGTTTAATTTAACGGTTTGGGGTAGGGTTTAGGGTTTGCAGCTTTAGGGGTTTAGGGTGTTAGGGGTTTCGGGTTTTAGAGGTTTAGGGCTTTAGTAGGGGTGTAGGGTATAGGGTTTTAGGGTTTAGGCCAAGTGTAGAATCTGATCGAGACAGCAGGTCGAAGCAGCAAGCCGATCTTCCGAACCATTCGCTAACACTTGGGGGTTTGGGGTTTAGGAGTTTTGGGGATTTGAGGTTTCTAGGCTGTAGGGTTGAGGAAGTGCGGGACCTACATTGGAGTTGACATGCTTATCAACCCAACCCTAGGAAGGGCATTGATTAGTCTTTGTGGATATGTTTTGCGGAGCTGGGAGGAAAGCGAACTATTAGCAATTTCCTGCGCCTGTAGCACCTTCGCGACTTCATTGAGCCCCTATAGTACCCTTGAAGGAGCTCTTAGAGAAACCCGAAACCCTCAAAACGCGGCTTTCCATTCGGGAGTTGCGACGTGCTTCTTCCAGCTCCTTATGGGGCTCCTTGAAGTGAGGGTTCTGTGGATGTACATAGGGCTTAGGGTTTAAAAGGGCATGAGGCCACATGGAGCTTCTCTATACCCTAACCATCGCCCGCATGAAAAAAAATTCGGATTTCGCTTGAAACTACCAATCGACTCTGCTGCGCTTGGCATTTTCTATCGGACCCGCCAGGAATCGGTCGGGGTGCTATTGTCTCCGCTAGGTTCTCCGCTAGGTTTTTATCACCGCTTCCGCCAGGTTTTTCATCGACGAGTTCGCTGAGTTTCCCGTGACCAGCACACAAGAAACATCGAACCCAACCCGAAAGTCTGAAGCACACAGGTTTTCACAGAAATTCACAGAATTTCACAGATCTTCACAGAATTTCACAGACTAGTCTGTGAAGATCTGTGAGATTCTGTGACAATCTGTGAAACTCTGTGAAACTCTGTGAAATTCTGTGAAAACCTGTGAAAAAACTGTGAAACCAGAAATCGCAGGCTTCAAGCGCGGCCAAACACCTGTGCTCCTGAATGCTCCGCTTGGTTTGTGCTCCATTCTCCTATTGGTTCCCCGCTAGGTTTTTGGTTCGCTTGGTTTTCACAGAAAACTAGTGGATCCGCTTGAAAACATCAATCGGACCCAATCCGCTTGAAACCACCAATCGATCCGCTTTTTTCTGTCGGCAGATGGATAGGGTAGGGTTTTAGGGTTGAGGCTTTGCGGTTACAGATGGCTTGAGAGTTTAGGGTGTAGGCTACCCTAACGAAGCTAAGCATGATTTTTCAGAGACTCATAGCACCCTGCAATACCTTCATAAACTTTTATGGCACCGTGGGTTGGCCCTTGACAATCCTCCTCTGTGAACCGCAAAAGGAAACCATAAAATATGTGGAAGATCGAAGTACCTCGTATCCTAGGAGAGCCTTTACCCTGAACCGAAAACTCCCCTGAGGCCCTGGCAATGAGAAGCCGCTGCTGCTGAGGCTTGATGCTCCTGCCAGTCGAGGGAGAGGGGGAGATAAACGGAGAGACAAAGCTTCCCTAAGGGTCCATGTGCCCGAATAGTATACACTTTGGTCTTAGAGTAGTCCCTATATAGGTACCTTGGGGGACAAAGTATATACTATTTTGGTACAAGGACCCTTTGGGCTTGCAGTCTAAGGTGCATGGCTGATGCACTCAGCCACTCGGGTGCAATATCGGAGTCTGAAGAGGGGCAGAAATAAGTCGTATTAACATAGATTTCTTCATAGTCCATAAAAACACCCCTGGTACCCTGTATAAGACCGTGGCCGGAGCAACTAAATTTCATGGTCCTCACCATAAGCTTGCCATAAGTATAGTTTAAAGACACCTGTAATTCCCAGTACAAAACCCTTTAACCCCCAATCAAACCACCCGTCAACAAACAGCTCTCTCGGATGTTGAAGGGCTCAGAAGGGCATGGCGTCGGGCGTTTCAGGCTCCAAGTTCTGCGCCTTATATGAGTGCCTCAATGAGTAGAGTTTAAGGTTATTTAAGGTTTAGGGCTTCTCTAAAATATCCCTTTTTAAGGATTCTATTTAAGAGCACCTATACGGGCATTGTACTAGTACGGGTTTCATGTCGTTGCCTTGAATTGGAATATGTTTTTGGGCATACGCTATAGCATAGTTGTACGATAACGGTCTTTATAAAATGGGATACCATTACTAGTTCATCACTAAACCCTAAATCCCTAAACCCTAAACTGTAGCCTCGATCTACGGCCACTATTCCCGGGCTTGGAGGACTCTGTAGGGATGTTAGTTATACTAGTTCATCTCTAAAGAAGCCATTGGGAAAGCAGCAGAACGTTTTGCAAAACCAAGAATTAGTGGACACAAATCCCAGTACAGCCCTTGCAAGAAGAACCAACGCCAATGCCTCAAACTAACGTACTCACTAACCCCTCTAAAATGCTGGCCAACAAAAACAATCCATCGAACCCATCATAAGCCCTAAACAACCCCGAAACCCGACCCTCAAAACTCTAACCCTAAACCCTAAACCCCTAAACGCTAAACCTAAAGAAGAACCCCGAAAATCTCCGCTATCGAAACTTTGGGCGCGCGGCAGCTCGTCCACCGCCGGCACAGGCGACACAGGCGAGCCCTGCCTGACTTTGGGTGTATAAAGGTTTAGTACGGATGGTTTTAAGGCCCCGTTTAGGGATTAGGGTTTAGGGTTTAGGGTCCCAAATAACGTAGCTTTTTCAGGACCCTATGTAAAGAGATCATGATAAGGAACCCCAAAGCGGTAGGCTATTTGGGGTCAGGTCAGGCTTAGGCTATAGGCTTTTGGCATGCTCCGGGCTTTCGGGTGTTGTGCTGGAAACGGTTTACGGTTTACAAGGGTGTTTAGAGGTGCTTCATAAAGTCTTGCTTGGTTTCAATAATGGTTTAGAGTGAGGTCGGGGGTTTTTGTGTTTGAGTTTAGGTGTATTTGTTCATGAGACATGCCTGCTTAAGCCGGCATAGGATGTTAAGCATGTCTTAACTTTGAGGAGGTTGGATGTAAACGCTCAAACCGTTCGCTAAATGAGGGTCCTCTCTGGACCCCTGAAGATTACGGCGACTACGGCTGGAAATTCTCTAGTAGGGACCCCAGAACGGCTTAGGGATGAGAGCAAAGCACGGATTACAGCACTGCAGCAGCCTTACTACCCTTGAGCCAAACACGAGGTGCTTAGCCGAGTCAGGAAGCACTGCAAACTCCCGTAATATATCTTGTCCCCCCTCTGGCGAGTCTAAGCACCGAGAAGCGGCAGACCCTCCTTCGCACCCCCAACACAAAGGAGGATCGGTCGAAGAGTCAACCAGCCTCGAGGGAAAGACACACTGTGGGTCTTCCTTGTCGGCTCCACTTGCTCTTCGCTTCCAGAGCATAGCCCGGGTAGCGATCAAAGAGCGGCGGCACCGCCTCGTGGAGTCCTTCTCCCGCGTGTACGTGCGATGAGTGCTTTCAAGCCAAAGTCCGCCAGTTTCGCATCGGGACAATGCCGGACGGAATGGTAGGAGGACAGCAGAACGTTGGCCTCCTTCACCTTCATCTCGGGCTGTCTGCACGGGAATTCGAACAAAGGATATTCCAAAACACTAAAAGAAGCTAGGAGTGATCAGAGTGATCCCCAAACCCTCAAGCCACTGAACCCGTATATCCCCGAAACACTGACTGCGAAACTCTATAGAACCCTGTAGAACCCTACAAACGCACAGAGAACCTTGTCAGACCAAAGCAAACTCCATAATAAACCCCTCATGTCGAAAACTTCACCTTTGCCTGGCAAGTTTTGGTAGCACCCTAAACCCTAAACCCTAAACCCTAAACCCTAACCACCAAACCCAGCATCCTACTCCCCTAAACCCCTACACCCCACATCCCCAACCCTTCCGCTAAGGGTCCATGTGCCCAGATGGCCCCAAAGTACCTATATAGGGACTACTTTAAGGCCACAGTATATAGGGTTTAGGGTTTAGGGTTTAGGGTTTAGGGTTATATACTATTTGGGCACATGAACCCTTAGGGTTCACCCGGCACAGAAGCAAGACGCCTCGATCGATCGGCCCTGAGCGGAGGGCGAATGGGGAACGCGACTGACAGGGTCATACAAGGGTTCTTACAAAAGCTACTACCCTAAGGGTCCATGTACCCAAATACTAGAACATAAGCCCTAAAGTACCCAAATAGGGACTACATTAAGGCCAATGTTCTACTATTTGGGTACATGGACCCTTAGGGCTGTACTTGAAGGTTCATGGGATGTTCCTGTTGCTTCTGTTGGGTGTCGAACGGGTGTTGTCGTGTACATCCAGGGCCGATGTGACTCGGACCACTGAACCTCCCAAAAACTGTGCGAAAGGCATGGTCTTTCAGGAAGCTTGCTGCAAGCTTCTGGGGCGTAGTGTTTAGGGAGAACCTAGCACTTATTGTTTTGCACTAGTCAGATTGGGCTCTTTGGGGAAGCATGGGTGGTGCCGGCAAACGCTGGCGTGTTACCAGTTTAGTCCGGTTTCGGAGCCTGAAGCGACACGAACTTGTATGGACGAGCAAGCCATACAGCCCGCTGAAAAGCAATCGCTACGCGGGCCCGAACCGAAATGTTTGGCTCTTCAGGCTCGGAGAAATCCTTACATGTGGCTCCAATTGCCTAGTGTAGGGGCCTCAATAATTAGAATAGGGTTTTAGGGGTTCCTTATTCCAATTATGGTATAATATACAGCCAAACCTTATTCTAATTATTAAGGCCCCTATGTTATGGTTCAGGCTGTAGTGTTTAGCGGGTTGCACCCAAGGATTACAGGATCACGACCTGCTGTTTTGAAGGATAACGGGTTGCAGATCAAAATTGAAAACAGCATGTCTAGCATGAAGCACTGAACATTTAATCCCCAGCCCTAAACAGTCTGAGAATCTTCATGCCTAAGCCGCACTGAACTCTCCGAAACCACAAACACCCCACACAACAGAGAGCTCCACCGCGCTCTTCGACCCCTATAAACCCCAAAGTCTAACTGAAAGAGCTAAAAAGAGGATCTGAACCCGCAAGCGCAACAAGATGTGTATTGGAGTCCTAACATTTTAAAGACCCGAACCCTTAAAAATCCAACAACCCCTGTGTAAACTCTTCAAGGAACCATAGACCCGAAATCTCTCAACGTCCTTCAAGGAGCCTTAACCCTAAACCCTAAACCGTCAAACCCTAAACTCTAAAACCCTAAACCCTTTCAGGACCCTGAAGCCCCGACTGCTGGAAAGCTGAACAACCTGAGCCGCGAACGCCATCCAAGGCGGGCTGCGACGTGTAGGCCGTCGATCGAGGGCCTCTGAAGCTCTCAAAAGTTTACAGCTCAGGTTTAAGGTTTAGGGTTTAATTTTAGACTCAACCCTTGGAATCGAAAAACCTACCGTTTTAAGGGCTCGACCCATGACAATGAATTAAGGGCTCATACCCTACTATGTTGTAGGGTTTGGGGTCACAGGAATGTTTTCTAGCTCACTCAGGGCTTGGCGCTGCCACCCTGATAAGTTGCAATCTTTCTACCGATAGCTGATCCCTCTTGGCCAGAGCTTTGTCGACTTTCGCATGTCTTAAGTGCCCACTCGACAGTCTTTAACTCTAGTTGCTGAGTTCACAAGCCCAATTAGTGTAGATGTTTAGTTCTATAATTGACAATAATATCTCAAAATATTGTGTACTCATTCAGCTTCAAAGCTCTCATACACCCCAAACCCTATAAACTTTTGAGCCTGAGGATTACAGTTTTGGGAACATTCTCGTCTAGCTTTGCAGGGCTAAGTGGTACTAATCATCCCAAAACCCTTTATGATCCTGTATAGTGTTTAAGTCGTGAAACCTTGTCACAGGGGATGGTATTAGAATGTCAGTGTGTGTGTATATACATATATATATATATATTCATGTACATGTATATGTATATGTATATATCTATATATATATATATTCATATTTATACTCTTGTTGACATCATGTTTCGCTTTGATTCATACACCTCTACTGAGCCGAAATTACCCTTCAACCCACCACCCTGGCGGTGCGCCTTGAAAGCATTCGGCTGCAAGTCACCTCAGAGAAACAAGGTCTAATGTTTGGGTTCAGGGTTTAGCGCTTAACAGGGTACTGTAAGTGCTTAAGTTCAAAGATTTGTATGTAGGGTGCAAAAAGGGTTGTACGAGCTTTCTCAACAGCTTCTGTGCGGGACATACTGGGTCATGGGTAATTACCAAAGCTTTTATCGAAACCTCTAAAGGAACCCCAAAACCTTAATCTAATGGTCCTTAATAATATTAAGGCCCCTATACTACTTACAAGCATGCACAACAATCTATAAGACGCGTATTTAGGTCGAAGAAGGGTTGTACAAGTGCGGGTTTCGAGGGTTTGGGTTTAGGGTTGAGGCTTTAGGGTTTAAGGCTAAATCGCGGTTCGACTGCAACTCTAGTTTTCTCGCATTTGGCCTGCGTACATGTACGCACGAAGGTTCAAGAAGTCTGTTGGGTGGTTCGAAACCTTGTTGCGGTATGGATAATGAAGTGCTCCTGACTTCAATGCTTCTATCAAGTATCCCAGAAAAACCGACAAAGGCACAAAACGCGGTTCTGCTCAAATCATATCGGGAACCTTTTCAAGAACAAAGCCGGGCCCCTTAAATAGTTACGGCGTATACAAACCCTGGAATCTTAACGTGTACAAGCCCTCTGGGTACGACTACAGTGGTTGGATTTGGAATGTAGAAACCTGCTGCATGCATGCTGGCTCGGCCCGGCCCTCCTCCGCGCGCCAATGCCAGTCGTTGGCTTCGTGATGTAAGGGTTTAGGGTTTAGCTTAAGGTCTACGGTTTTTAGAGATTTAAGGCTCCAGCACAAGTTCAGGCCCCAAGAACTTAAAACACCCCCAGAGGAAGCCCTCGTACGAGAAGACATGATTCCAGACTGAGACTCGAACCGGCAATCGTAAACTCTGAGTCTAAACCCTGAACCCAAAACCTTCACAGACTCTCGAGCCAGTAACAACCAACAGGTCTAACTGCAACTGCAACATGCATGGAAAAGTATGCTGCTCCTTTTCATGTACATGTATTTCTGATATCAAACTTTGTAGTTCTAATGCTTGACATGTATGTTGTCCTCGACATTGTGTACATTTCTGTTTGTTGTATAGTTGCACTGCTATCGCGCCAGTTCTGACTTTTATTATATTGCATTTAACCGTATTATGTTCTGTACATACATACATAAATACGTACATACATACATACATACATACATACATACCTACAGGCATACATGCGCCACGCACATACATGCACACATACATACATGCATACGTACTAACTGTTACACACACACATATATATATATATATGTATGTATGTATGTATGTATGTCTGTATTGTATATATATATGCACATACATGCATGTTGTATACACATTAAAATATATTAGCAGTTCGTGTTTCTACAAACAAACACGCGAGGCCCAGGCCCACGGAAAGGCCACCCTTCGGCAGCTCCGCCGCCGCGACGCCGGCGAGACCTGACAGCTGAAACTTGCATTGTCTTAAATGTCAAAATTTGCAAGTATGTGAAGTATGAGATGCATTTATGTACATATATATATATATATGCAAATACTTATACACATGTAGAGGTATATATGTACATATATATATATACATATCATATACATCAGTGCATACACACGTTTATGTATATTATAGATAAACAGATATGTATATGTATATATATATATATATGTATTTATTTATATGGCTGAGCATGCATATAAGTATTATCAAGGATTGGGGCTTAGGGCTTTGGGTTGTAGGTTTGGGGGTTCATGGTTTAAGGTCTAGACATAAGTATTTTGCGCGTGTGTGTATATGTATATACATATGTATATACATGTACATATAAATACATATATGCCTATATATATATATATATATATGTGTGTGTGTGACGGTTCCATAAAAGAGTTCTCTCTCTCTCTCTATATATATATATACACCCGATTTTATACTCTAAATCTTAAGCCTCAAGCCTAAGCCACAAACAGGTTTGTAGGGTTAAAAATTAGAGGAGACGGCTTCAAGGCTTGAGCGCTGAGGTTTGGCGATCCGCAGATCTAACGTTGATGTCGGTACCGGAAGACACTCTTAATCTTACTCCCCCAGTTGATTACTACTAAACCATAAAGACTGAAGGCGTTTAAAGGTTGGGTGCTTTACTGGAAAACTAAGTAATGTAGGCCTTAATAATCAGAACAGGGTTT